TGTGTCTGAGGAGGAGGAACTAGGAGACTAAAATATTGCAGAAAAAGTACTGGATTAGGATTCTGGAGATGGTTTTTTTGATGAAAAAAAAAAAAGTGATGGTTGAATTGTCACATGATGAAACCAGCTCCTTGTTCAGGATCAGGTTGCTTTCCGACTCAAATCCTGTGACTCTCTGGTCATTATCAGTTGACATGGTTTTGTTCAAGTTGAAAAAAGTAGGCCTTATTTAATGTTTTTGGTTTATCTGAATTCCCTGCTTAAATTAAAACATGGTTCTGATCCCCTTGTTTCTGTATTCCTGATGTGTGCAGGCAGCTACTGAAATTGATGTAGCAAAGAGAAAACACACACATCCTCCCTTTTCCTTAGGAACTAACTCTGTTTTTTCTGTTGTATATACTCAAGTCCTAAAACAGCCCAACAGAAGCCCAACATGCCAGGATTTCCAGTTTTGTTTCTAAGGCACGTGATAACATGGGACTTTGTCCCTTCTGTTTCCCACACTTTCCAGACACCCCAGCATAAGGAATTCCAGAACTTTTTGATAGTACTCTTTGCACAACAAAATATAATAGTAATTCCTAGTGTTATAAACATTCCAGAATATTTTAAGAAACTGTTCTGTCTTTCAGTCTTCAAGTCCCAGATTTAAGGGCACAACAGAAAGCTTGCTCTTTGCATTCTGTGGATCACTGCAACTTCCTGCTGTTAATGGTATTTCGGTTAAATTCTGACTGACTCCTGGCTGATTAATTCTAAGTAGCAGGGCAGGGATTCTCATTTGTATCCCAAGGCATGACCTACCATTTAATCTTTCCATTTTCTTTCATGATATCTGGATTGTAGTCTAGATTGGATTCAGGTGCTCCCCAGCTTCCGAGATCCTAGATGAATCCACTGGCTATTCAAGTTTGAGTCGTGCCCACCCAGGCAGTCTCCTACATTCAATGCATAGCGCCCTAAAACTCTCTGGATCAGAATCTCTCCTTGTACAGCTCTCCAATAGCAAGGCTTTATCTTCTCTTCATTTCCATTTTTGCCTCGAAGCATCTATCCTTAAGTCTTCCAAATATGGCTTCAGAAGAAAAAAATCACTTAGGAGCCTGTCCTCAGAATTTAATTCTCCTAATTAAAACTTATTTCCCTCCCTACTAGACTGTAAGCTTCTTCATGCTGATAAAAATCTATGTCTCTTTCTGTCTGGACTCTAGCACTTACACCTTATCCGACATGTAGTAATCACTTCCTGCTTATTCAAAGAGTGACTGAATGAATAAATGAACAACTACTTCTCTTAATGAACATGGAGTGAATCTAGAACAAAGGAGGCAGTTACCAGTATTGAGAAATAACCTACTGGCTTCAAGCTCCTTATGAGGAAGACGACTTGGTGTTTTCTCGGTGTACAGATCCTTCTTCCTTACCTGGCGTGGCTTCTGCAAGTGATCAGACACGGCAAGTTCTTTTGCTTCCTAAAGTGGCAAACACTCACAAGTGGTCAAAAAACTTTTTGCTTAACGTTCCCCAGATCCCAAATAAATGGTAAGGCATATGATGTTTTGAATTTTTTTCAAACTTCCCCCTTAACTTAAGCACGTTTTTAGAAATATAATGTAGGAGCATAAGACAATAGTAAGAAACCATCCACAAGGCTGAACTCTTAAAAAAAAAAATCATTTTATTGATCCTTTACCATACAAAATTTATTCAAATTACACCCATTTGAAGTGGTAAGATCACAGCTAGAGAACAGGTTACCCTGTAACAAATCTATTTACAAAATCCATCATAAAAGCTTTTTTTTTTTTTACATTATATTACATATTTTCTTTTTTAAACTAGCATACAACACAAAGCTAAACTGATTAGTAGTTTGCATACTCCCAATTCTGGGAGAAATACTTCCTTTTGACAAAATCTCGTACCCCACAGGAAAAGAAATTCCCACAATCGGACAGTTGCCACCCGACTCACTCTGCAAGGCATCTTCCTTCAAATCCCTCATTTCGTACACACAAGTTGTCATGCACACACTGAGTTCTTACTTTCTTTTTCCTGAAAGCTAAAGCTTTAAATACTGCAATTGTATTTACAGATCTACACTTACAACAAAAATGAACACAAGAACCACCACAACAAGAACAACAACAAGAAAAAAAAACAAAATAACACTCTTAAAAAATTACAAACCAGCTAGAAAATATTCTGGCAGTGTTTACAAATTAATTGCTATTTTTGTACAAAATTGCTAGATAATGAAAATATGAGGAGACTGCGTATCAACTTAAATAAAATGATTACTACGCACAAATCTGTACATATAAACACACACCTAACACTGTTTGACAGCTCATGTGTTGCTCTTTATACAATTTACTCTCTAAGGCTCACGCAGTCATAATTCGCACACTTGTAACTTTTAGCCATTTCATGTGTGAGCTTTAATAGCAGCAACTCAATGGTACCAGGAAACCTGCATACTCAGTACTTAAAGTAACACAAATACTGTAGTACTAACCCACTTCGTGTGCCAGAAACTTCTGTCAAAAAGAAAAATGACTAATGCAAACAGAATACAGTATGGACGTCTAATTACTGTACACCAGTTAAGCCCATTAACTGGGAAAGCCTTATGCATGAAGGAACTTTTAAGACTTAATAGGATTCCTTTCATTTTTTAAAACAATAAATACGGCATCACGTTACGAAAAAGTTTAACAAGAAACTCAACCAAACACACAACCACCTAGCCAGGTGAGCTCAGTCTTTAGACTTTGGAAAAAAATCAGCTTTGTGCAGCTGGCAAAGAGAATGACACAAAGCTGGAAGCAGAGGCAGCTAACCAGATGAGATAAATATGGGAAATAGGGAAAAGCTTGGCATAAATGGTTTCCCATACAGGAAAAAAACCCCACAGTGCATTTCCAGTAGGCACTTGACACAAAGCTCCCCCTCCCTCCCCCACCCAATGCTTCATCTCGGACCAAGTCCAGTGTGTGTCCAGGGGAGGAGGGTGGGGATGGAGGCCGAAGAAAAAGGAGGATAAACTGCACCTTTGTTTTTCTTCTCAAACATACACCCATGCATACCTACACAAATAGTTTAAAGTGCTGGTGTCATTTGTGTTGACCCCACCACCACTTTGCATATTGTGGAAATCTACCTAGAGTAAATTGGCTGGGGCTTCCGTGGGTTTTGTTTTGTACTTTTCCTAAGGGATATAAGTAAGGAATATTCCGTAAGATGGTATGGAAAAGCCCAAATGAACTTTTTGGTCAACCCAGTATTTCTTTTTTCCCATTCCGCTGAACTGAGTGCCTACCACGCGCCTCCCACTGTGTCAGGCAGAACAGCAATTCAACTCAACCGTTCTTGGTGTTGAGGTTTAATTTATTTATTAGATGACACCTCATTCCCACAGTCATTAGCATCCAAGGAATGGACGTGAGGTACTCTGCCACATTCCCAGTGGGAGATGGCCATCTGCCCCCTGGCCAATGGGAAAGCCATTCTTGGACTCAACTGGTAGGATTTTGCTGCTATCAGGAAGCCTCCGACTTGGGACACTATTCCCAAATAGTTCAGTGCGAGATGCCCTGGCATCCTGCCCTGCCTTTTTTCTACAGCCCCAGCTTTCCTTGGTCCAACCTTCTCCTTCACAGTGGAAGGGGGAACAGGGGTTCTGGCCAGGTCTCCTGTAGCCCCCGACACAGTGGGAGCTCCCTGCTCTCAACGGCTGAAGCAAAGTGCCACTGATAGCATGCTACTCATGACGGGGGATGTCCTTCTACCCAGAGGCCTCTCCATCCGACCCCATCCTGAGAAGTGGTCTCCCTGAGTGCAGTGTAAGAGCCCTTTCCCCGGTCACAGGGGGCCTGGGAAGCCCAAGGGACGGAGGGATCCATCCATACCTGCTGCTCTTGGGGTCTGACCTGGTTCTCTCCAATGGGCCGCCCCGCTGTCGGCGAGCTCCACTCGCTCCAAGCACCCCCTCCTGGGGAAGGAAGCGAGATGGGGCAAAGCTTCTCACCAAGGCTATTAAGCCTTAGATCACACATGCTCTGATCAGTAGAGGTTCTCTACCTCTGCTTAAAATAATGTGAATTAGCAAAAACTGCTTCAAAGTAAACAATTAAATTGAAATGGTTGATGGGTGCCACAGGAATGCTTAAATGGCAGCTAAAAAAAGGAAAAAAAAAAAAAAAAACAATCCACAAAGAACTCCTAAGTAGGCATTTGCTATAAACTTCAAACTTACAAATACGTTGGGGGCAAGAGAGTGGGAGTGGTTTATGGAGACAGGATAATCCACAACAGCTTAGAGGGGCAGAACTCGACTGTTCTTCTGTATCTGCGATGAATATTGGAGAACAGTTTCTTCATCCGAAAGGCTGTGGAAGATCTCTTGGCCTCCAAGTGGGACACGCGGTCCATAGCTTAAACTGAATTATGACAGTAATTTAAATATTCCTAAGAAGAGCTGAAGAAATCCATTTCATACTTTTGCATGACTTCAAGTTTACAGTTCCTGCAGTTTCCATCCCAAATTAGCAGACCCCAAAGACATGCATTCTGCGGAGAAGGCACGGCTTGAAATGCTATTAAGGAAGATTGCTGTTTTCGAGTGGGCCAGGTGGCCAGACCCCATTCTACAGCCCATCCGTCAGGCACAGCAAGCCAATCCGGGAGGGAGGGAGGGAGGAAGAGGATGGGTGAGAGACACCTGATTGCACATTTTCTCACTTGCTGACTCATCCAGGAGATTTTGGAGCCTGGGGCAAGGCAGGGCTTTCCCAAGGGAGCCTGCAACTGTGCGTTGATAGACAGTTTTGTTTTTTTTAATTCATTAAAATGTCAGCTTTGTTCTGAAGTCTGTAGTTTACTTCATGATACTATCTTGGAGGAAGAAGGGAGGAAGGGACAACACTGCATGACACATGTTCTGGTTCCATAATAAAAAAATATTGGTTTATAAGGGGAGTTCACACAAAGCATAATCAACTACACATAAAGTCTTCCACCAGCGGGAGCTTTTCCAAATCGTAAGCATCAAAGAGATCACTGATGCCTTCTTCCTCCCCGAGGCTTAGGAGATAGTCTTCTTGGAGCAGGGGAGGCAGTAAGTTCACAAATGGTCCTTCTAGGTTGGAAGGAATTTGGTCCTCAGTCTGCTGTAAAAGGTTGGCCGGGGAGGCCAGAGGAGAAAGGTTTGCCATAGAAATTGAGCAATCATTATGTCCTGAGTTGGTTGAAGCCAAGTCTGAGAAGAAAGAAAAAGGTGGTGGAAACAAGAAAATAAGTCAGGCGAAAATCTAATTTGGAGGAAGCATATACATGTTGCTGTTATAGACGCATGCACTCTTTTGTTAAGGGCAATCAGACGACTTTATGACATTGTTGTTGTTTACTCTGTAAGTCACGCCTGACTTGTGTCTCCATGGACTGTAGCCTGCCAGGCTCCTCTGTCCATGGGATTTCTCAGGCAAGAATACTGGAGTGGGTTGCCACTTCCTTCTCCAGGGGAACTTTGCACCCCAGCGATGGAACCCATGTCTCCTGTATTGGCAGGCAGATTCTTTACCACTGAGCCACTAGTGAAGCTTGACATTATGGTATAGATCACCTCCTATACTAATGGGCATTGTTAAGTAGGGACTCTGGTCAGCCTTTTTTTGTTCTTGTCTACTCACTCATCTTTTAAAATATCAACTGTTAGCAAACAAGAATACAGGTAGCTTCAAAGATTAGAGACTAACAAGTTCAAAAGTAAGTTCCTGATACCAGTTAGTCATCCTTTAGGAAAAACAAAAGAAAACAAAACACGCAGACTGAAAAGTTGGCTCCCAAGTAGAGATCACTGATTTTAACTTAGTCTTTTTTTGAACAACTAGCTTATTAAAGATAATTCTAAAAATACAAGTAAAAGGACACATCCACTTTGAAGTTCTAGGGTGGGGGAAAAAGTGGTCTTTGGTTTTACCATTTGAGGTACCTTTTTTTTTTGCTCAATATAAGTACATATCTCCAATCTGAGACAACAAAAAGACTACAAAGAGCTTCCTTTGCTGTGGAGACAATGAAGGGAGGAATTAGATTTATTTTTTCTTCTCTTCCCTTATTCTCTCCCCACTACACTGGGGGGGAAAATTAAGATAAAAGTTCTTGGGCAAAAGGCTTCCTTCTCCCAACTTTTTTCCAGTTCCCTTTCCAATGATCTCTGTGATATCACTCAGAGGTATGCGGCCAAGTATAGCTGGTAATTCAGCTGGATAGCTCACACCTTCACTCTTCACTTTGATTTTCCAAAACACTGCAAAGAAATGGTTTCTGCTGATAGCAAAAGCCTGAGGGGACTCCATTTAGTGGATGGAGGAGCCGTTTGCCCAAGATCATTATTTTCTTCTGCAAACTATTCAGAATGTTTTTTTTTTAATGTAACATTAATGATAGAAATTTTTGTTTCTTGCCAAGACTTGTGATTCTGATAAAGGATCCTTCTAGTTACCTTCATTTTTAACACAGTTTCCAAATGACAAAAGTGGAATTTTTACCTTTGGAAGTGGGTTTAGGGATATTCCCATTGTGGTCTTGGTTGCTTGTTTTCATTGGACTGTGTGTTTCAGTCTCTTCTGGACACAAATAAACCTCAATGGGTCCTTGGGTACTTGCCAAATGTATCTGGAGGCTCTATGAAAAGAAGTGAGAAAAGTTCAAACTGGAAGCTGTTTTGTAATTTTCATGGAAAAATGGGAAGTCAGAGTAATTTTCATTGTTGCTTTTGCTTCTCCACTGGTAGTCTATCTCAGTCAGTGACTGTCAACCTCTAGAGCAGGGGTCAGCAAACTACAGCCCGAAGGTCAACCCTGTCCACCAACTGGCTTTGTAAATAAAGTTTTATTGGGAAAAGTCACACCCATTCTCATTGTTTATATGTTGCCTCTGGCTTCTTTTTTTTTTCTAAATGCTATAATGGTATGGCTGTGCAGTTGAGTAGTCCCAACAGACTACAGGGATCACACAGCCAACAATATTTACTGTCTGGCTCTTTATAAAGAAAAACTTTGCTGATCCCTGCCAAGAGGAGGTGAATCTTTAAAAAAAAAATTATTTCTTTTATGCAAACTATTAAAAGGTCTTTTAAATGTTCCAAATATCATATTTCCATGTTACTCATTCCTGAAGAGTAGGGTTTTTTTATATTGAACTTTAATCGCCACTGCATGAATAGTAAGTAGTCTTAAGTGCTAGGAACTGAGTTTAATAAAAGAATACAGCACACTAATATTTAAAATTCTTCTTCATCTAGGTCATAAACCTATTATGATCATTTAAGGTGAGAACTCTACCCTAGATGGGAGTTTATAAATTTCATTCTTTTCATTTTGTGTGCATTCTTTTACTACATTTCTTTATCTTATAGTCTAAGCTTATATTATCAAAGTATATCCGAAAACAATCACAAAAATATGCTCCTTATTTTCTTATGATATTCTCATCTATCAACAAACCCAAAGTCTCATTTGATTTTGTAAATGTTCATGTGTTATAAATGAATAAATTCTTTAAATGTGCTAAGATAAAGTAAGGAGCTACTTTAAAACATCTATATCTCTATTATGGTGGAGACCATATCCAGGGTAATCAACATAAAAGTCCCCACTGGTTCAAATCAATCAGAACCACCAGATAACAAATTATGAAAAAGAGTAATCCACAAGAGGCACAGGACCCCATATACCACTTTGCAAACTATCAACCACTTTGAGTTGAAGGCCCTGCTATGTTAAAATTAGACTTTTTGGACATTCAATACATAGCAAGCTGTTGATATGTTTTTAAGGTTAGGATTAAGTAAAACAGATGGGGAAAAACTCTCAAGCTTTCAGGAAAATAAGGATATTAACTGATGTCAATGATTCTTTAAACACTAGGCATTCCAATTTGCAGCAACACGGATGGACCCCGAGAGTGTCATACTGAGTGAAGTCAGTCAGAGAGAGAAGGAAAAATATCGTATGGCATCCCTATGTGGGGAATCTAAGAGGAAATGGTACAAATGAACTTACTTACAACTTACAAAACAGAGACTCACAGACTTAGAAAACAAACTTATGGTTGTGGGGGTCGCAGGGTCGGGGGGGGGAGGGCAGCTGGGAGTTTGGGATGGTCAGGTACACACTGCTATATTTAAAATGGATAACCGACAAGGACCTACCATACAGCACATGGAACTCTGCTCAGTGCTATGTGGCGGCCTGGATGGGAGGGGAATTTGGGGGAGGATGGAGGCGTGGCTGAGTCCCTTCACTGTTTACTGAAACTATCATGACATAATCAGCTATACTCCAACACAAAATAAAAAGTTTTTAAGGAGAAAACCAAAAAAACACCAGGAATTCCAAAAAGATCTCTGCAGATGAACAGAGATATTATCTCCTTACCTCTATTGGGTCAGGCACTTCAAGTCTTGTTTCTGGAGGGGCTTTCACAACTATAACAGTTTGGTCTTTAAGGCCACTAATTTTTCGAATATCTTGATATGTAACATAAGCTAACGTGATGAGCGTTAAGGAACTCTTCCAACTAATTGTCTCAGATGTAACCATTATGAACAGAACAAAATAGATGCATGGAAAAAATTTTAAGTATTTTATGTTTTATAAGAAGATACTGATATCTTCTTCTAGATCTTCCAAACAACAAATTAAATATATAGCTTTTTTCCTGCCCATTTCTAAAAAGTCCTTGGCTACTTAAGATATAAGCACAGAAACAGAATAGTTAAACTCTCAAAAGAAAACTAATACTCAGTTTGGTCAGGGCTTTTCAAAGCAGATTCCGAGTGTTCTGTCACTCAAGTTGAATGACGGCAGAATCCCAATTTACAGAAAAAAATTTGAGCTCTATTAGCCATAATTTTGTTTAAACTGCAGTAACTTCTATCTGCTACTCTATTAGAAAGTGTCAGCAGCCACCCAAAATGAATGAATGAGTAGCAAATACATTTATCCGTGGAAGAACTCCAAGTCCCACTCAGGCAGACAGCTTGTTTTCTTAAGTGCACCTGGGCTGGTTGTGTTATAGACTGCTTGCTGATAAGAGTGTCATTATTTCTCTGTTAGGAAAACTGTCCTTTGTATAATATTATTAGCTACAATATTTCAGTGCTCACAAGGAGGAAAGCAGCTTCCAGATGCTCTGCAAACTAAATGATTGAGGAAAAGAGAGTAAAATCATATTCAGTACTCTCGGTAGCTACTTCTGGGCACTGAACACTTCTTTAAAGTGCCCTGACTGACAGTCAAACCTAAGAGGATATTACGAAAGAATATGGTATTTATTATATGATAAAAGTATTTGTGCAAGCTTGCTTAGAGAGACAGGCTTTGACTTGGTGCTACTAGAGGATAGGTCACATAGCTTTCTTTTATAAGGGACATGGAATAACATAATTAATCTACAATGACTTTAGCCAGTTGCTTTTTTATATTAACTTACCAAAAAATGCCTAGGATGAAACAGCAAATCATAAGCCAATGAAGGCATTCCCAAAGGTAACATAGTGAAAGGAGGCTGTGATCTAATATGTTCGATATAGTCATAGGACTTAGCCTAGAGGAAATGATGTCCCTCAGATTAGTAGCTCTTTATTAGAAATTAAAGAAAGCTATGAACCTACTGTCCAGAAAAAAACACCTTCACCCATAATCTGCATGCACATTTAAAGAAATTTTCCTGACTGTGCTGTGTGGCATGTGGGATCATAGTTCCCTGACCAGGGATCAAACCTGTCCCTGCAGTGGAAGGACAGAGGCTTAACTACTGGACCCCCAGGGAAGTCCCTGCATGCACATTTAGGGGCATCTCTCACAGACTATTGGAGTAGGAAACGGCAACCCACTCCAGGCTTCTTGCCTGGCGAATCACATGAACAGAGGAGTCTGGTGGGCTATAGTCCATGGGGTCACAAAGAGCTGGGACACGACTAAAGCGACTGGGCAGCCAGCATCTCACATACTATCATGTTAAGTCTCAGAACTTCAGACAACAGCTAATTTACTGTTGAGCTTGACAGAACAGCTCATGTAGGATTCTGGGTTTTAGGTCATCATCAGTCTCATCACAGAAGCCAATTTCTATCTTAATGGGAGACTTGATGGTGATGGATTTTTACTGAGAACAGTGGGGAAACTGATAACTAGGTACTTGCCCCACAGCCCACTGTCAGAAAGCTATCTGACAACAACTTATTAAAATAAAAGCTCATCTACAATTACCCAACATGCTGCAGGAAGGAAAATTTCAACACATCTGTGAACAAGCTGTACCACATTCGGAACTGAATGGCAAATTGAAATAAATTGTGCAAACATATTCTCTACTCTTAGAAACTTAAAAGTGCTTCCACTGTGGCTCCCTCCTGAATTTTGTTTCTTGGGATAGCAGCCCCCTACAAGGAAGCTTTCACCTTCTGCTACAAAGGTGCAGGTGGAGGTGATATGTAGGTGATAAGGCTACAATGTAGCCTTATAATGTAGGCGCAGGTGTAGGTGATAAGGCTACAAGCTGCCAATCACATGTAAAAACCACATCTCCTCCTCTAAGGGGCTCCTGACTACACAATGTAGGAAACAGCCCAGCTACAGCTATTCTTATTTCTTCCCCTGTAAACCCACCCTGGCCACTGAGGGAGGGGGGATGGGCGTCAAATCATCACACCTCTTCTCCAGCTCACTAACCATCAGCTGACAAGGTTAATCCTCTGGCCAACAGGAAATGAACAACTGAGTTTTTTAAAAAACTGCTTCAATTGGAAAATAAATGTCTCCATAACTTTAAGGGAAAGGTTACTTTAGATGAGACACTACAAGAAACTGGGCAGGTCACATTTTGGTTTTTGTCTAATAAGGATAAATGTGGAGCTAAAATTAGAGATAGGATTATTTAAAATACTGGTTTTGTTTTCTGCTAATAACTGAGAAGATTGCAAAATCTTCTTGTCAACACAATGAAGTAATTGCTCTCCCCTATGGTCTGACGTGAAGTGATGACCAGGAAGTTTCCTTCAGGTAGTCAACAGATTGTCAGCCAGTTAAGAAAAAGAGTTGGCTTTTTAATACTTTTACTTCCAAGGACTAGAACAGATAAACTGAGATTTCTTAAGCCTTAGGGTGCTTCTGAAATCAGTCTTCAGTGCTATGATTCAGCACTGTTGTTTAGTTGGCCAGTTGTGTCTCACTCTGTGACAGCATGGACTGTAGCCCACAAGGCTCGTCTGTCCACGGGATTCTCCAGGCAAGAATACTAGAGTGGGTTGTCATTTCCTTCTCCAGGGGACCTTCCCCATCCAGGAATCTGACCTGCCTCTCCTGCACTGGCAGGCAGATTCTTTACCGCTGAGCCACCATAATGTGCTTTAAAAATTATAGAACAATTCTTACACTCTTTCAATTCCTTCAACTATAGTTCAGTCACACAGAGTCAATAAATTCCAATTGCTTCCAATATCTGATGAAAAGAAAATAGAATATGAGAACCCCAACAATGACAGCTAATACCCACTCAAAATCTGGGAAGCCTAAGATGAATGTGCTGAATGTTATCATTAATATGAATACTGATACCTTATGGATCTCATTAATAATGTTGCCCTATGCTATGAATGTACCTGTATGTCCCAACCACATGTGAATAAAACACTTTAAAAAAAGTTCCCACCTGGTTATCAAAAGAGAGATGATAGGATGCAGTCTAATAACTATCATTTTATAAATACTGAATACACAAACATGCGCCTCCTCCCACCCCCCCACTTACTTGGATGAAACTAGGGTAAAATTCTCCCTTGCACATAAAAGTCAGATGGTCAACTCTGGAAATAGTCTAGAAAGCACTGACCCCCACTGAACAGGTGGCACAAAGGATATCTTTGATTCTCTGAATCCTCGGTTAACAGTTTGAGGTCCAGGGTGCAGCTTTGGATCAGTTCATCTAATTTCTTCTCTTCCTGACTGAGCTCGGTCACTTCTTTTGACAGGCCTTGACACTGGGCCAGCATGCCCCCGTCCTCAGACAGACTGCAGCCCCTGGAAATCCAAACACAGACTCTGCCTGGCTGTTCGACAGGCCAAAGGTGGGGGCGGTGTTGGGGGGGGCTGGGAGAAATGGTCCTTCGGGTAAATGTCCCCTCTTGATGCAGGAGGTCACACTGCTTGTTAGCCAAGTGTTAAAATTAGAACATTTATACATATTTTTTTTATACATACGGTCCTTCACTTTTTACACCATAGAAATTAAGTGAAGAAACACTGCTATTTTCAGGTTTCTTTCCTCCATAGGAGGCCTGTTTCTTTAGAAGACTCAAATTCAAAAGGCAGAAGGAGGCAGCTCTTCTTCCCGCCACGTGCCTCCCAGCAGGGAAAAGAAATGGAGGGGGAAAGTCAAGAAACAGCAAAGTAGAAAGACTGGAAAGAAAAGATGGAATGGTTCAAAAATTCAACCAAACATCATCCCAAAAAAGCATGAAAAACCTAGGTAATTTCTGAGGGTCTTATACCAACAACTAAAAAGGAAAAGGAGGTTAAGGAAACACAGATGTGGTAGATGCAAGAACAAAGACCAATCCCCAATAGGTCTGTCTCAACCGCTGGCTAAAATGGGTTACTGAATCGTCACAAAATTCCAAAAAGTACAAAAAAACTACCTGTTTGTTTTACTATGTTCGAAGTAGTATTTTTTCAAAGTCAACCCATAACAGACTTATTCCCTCTAATAATGCTTTGGAAGTTGCTTCTCAAATACTGGGTGTTCAGATTCTCTGTTCATAATTCACAAATGACGTGATCATACATTTAATCATGTGTGTGGTGGTGTAGGTGACAAGTATTATCATCTCAGCTTCCCAGAAGGAACCAAGGCATTTAAGTCTTGACTTAGTTTACACAGAAAGTGAGTTAACCTGCAGTGAGAACCATGGATAAAGATACTGTGTATATACACATATGTGTTGATACACAGCCATAGATAGCTTCTAAATTCCTATTAGAGACAAGCCAGAGACCTGTGTAAGCCATCTAAACAGAAGGTCTCTTTGTAAAGAGACTTTGAACTTCGGGCTAAGGAACTGAGGAGGGAAGAGAGGAGAGAGAAGAAGAGAGTAGGAGAAAAAAGGAATGGAAAAAAAGTGTGGGCATGAGTGTGAAAGCTGGGGCTGGGAGAAACCCCGCTGCAGTTTGCAAAGAACCCCACCCCCAGCCCCAGCCCAGAGCCAGCGAACTGGGGGGTGTGGGGGGGTGACCCATACTCACATCCACTGCACGTTGTTTTTAGACTTCTTCTTAATGAGGTGGATGCCTTCCAGGACGTTGGTGATGTCATAAATCCTTCTCTTTTGCACCTTCAGCACCTCTGCTGCCTTGTTCAAATCCAAGACCCCATCAGGGGACTGGCTCAGTAGCTGAATGAACTTCTTGGTGAGCAGACCAAGGGATGTATCATACCGTGTTTTTTCTGAGGGAGATTTTGGAGCTTAAAGAAAAACAAAAACCGAGCGGGTGGGGGGGATACGGGGAAAGGTAAAGAAATGAAGGGTTTCTTTGCAGTCAAGCAAGCCCCCTCTCGCCCAGCAGCCCAGCTATTAGCATCAGAAGCAAAGCTGTTGTTGCTGATGTTTTTGGTGAGTCATAGAAAGCTATGAACTGCTTTATTAGAAAGGGAAGGGATGTAAAAATTCCTGTTTGATGAAAGTGTTTCACTGTGAATTTCTCGGTAGTTTCTGTTTTGACTTATCTTACTCCCTGGGACTAGTGAATTATCTCACACATGGTAGGTGTTCAAAACTATCTGCTGAATGAATGAAAAGTGCTGTAGCCTCATGGAATCAGCACACAGAGCCTAACTCAACGGGTTCAGACTGTGAACCTCTCCAGCCTTCGATGACAGACCCATCCTAACTGGCTTTTCAGACTCCTTTATCTGTTTGCATATAACTTGTTCACCAACTTTTCAAATAATGTAGATGAACAATGCCTAGGAAAGTCTTTCAGTCCCATCTCCCCATCCCTCTGGTATGAAATATCCCCATTTAATATTGTATTTATTCTCTTATAGGTATATAGGTCAAGGGTTTAACTGAGTTTGACACACCATTTGTGGACTGCCTAATTCATAAACTACAGGTTAGGAGAGGATGAAGTCTAAATTAATTTAGCCTCCACATTAAACGCCAGAGACATATGAGTGATCCAAAAACAAAAAATAAATAGAAAAAACTTATCAAACTTTTTCATTTAGTTATGTAAATTTAGATTTTGTTATTGTCAGAAAATTAAGTTTCCTTTCTGTTTGGTCTTAACTTTAAAAATGCTTAAGGTTGTAATAAATCGTTTCCAGCTTGCTAATATTAACTTTCTTGCCAAGCTTCATTGTGAAAGTAAAATGTTTGCTATTAGCGTCAGAATTTTACATTCTAAATAAATTTCCTATGTGGCCACTGTCTTTTCTAATTGCTCTTATTTTTTCCTGTCTATAAATTTTACCTATGATATTGAGCACATAATTATTATTAAGAACATGACTTACTATTTTTAGATAGTTATAATCATGTTAGAACAGGAAGGGATCTTAAATATTACTTAGTTAAATATTAATTAGGAAAGAAATTTCCCAAATAGTTTGCATTTTGTTTTAAATAGTAAATAATGATTATTAAAAATATTTTTTCAAAGTTCAAAAAAAAAAAAAATAAATAAATAAACGCCAGAGACATAAAGGACAATTTAGCTATTTACAACCTCCTTTTCTCTCAAAGAAACAATTATTGTGTCGATGGAATCGCAAACTAGCTGCAATTCATTGGTCTCCATCAATTCTTATGCTGCCATATGCTGAGCTAGGGATTTAGGCCAACAGAGGTAACACCTAACGCCCAGCTGGCCTTGGTCCCTCAAGTAAGGTCCATGAAGGAAAGTTAAAAGTTAGCTTTGACTACAGAATGGTGCCAAAGAGTTTGCATTCTGAGTTGAAAAATGAAATTGCGCACATCAGCAGAGGCCTCCCCTGAAGTCAGCACACAGGTAACAGGACTCACTCTGTAAACCTTTCACTGGATGTCTGCAGACATTATATTTATTTTTTTGGACAGGCAAAGACAGAAATGAAAAAGGACCAAACATGCCAAAATTGTCCACACCTCGGCGTCCCTTCAGCCACAAGCTCTGAAAGTCGGGAAGCTCCCACCTGGGAGAGGGAGAGAGGACAGAATCCTTACTTTTTGGGCTGTCTGGACTTCGGAGTGCAGCTCGTCCTTTGCCCTTGGGGGTTTTTAAACCATCTGAGAGGTACTGCTGACCGCTTTCTCCTAGCTCCAGCCTGCGCTTTGCCTGGAATAAGAAGAGTACAGTTGTTGGTGGCGGGTCATGTGGACGGTCACAAGTGAGGCTGTGGCCTGGCTCCTGCCAAATGCAGCAGGCTCGCATCAGCCCTACCCTGGGTCTCTCAGCCTCCTCTGGGTCTCAGTTCCCTCCAGCCTGGGCTCCCCGGAACCCTCTGAGGCGGGGCTCTCGCCTCCCGTGCACAGATGGACAAATCCAACGCTCTGCGGCCACTTTGTTCATTTACTCATGGATTCAACACACGTGCCAGGCATGGGGCTGGAGGCTGAGAATACCGCAGGCACCGTGGCACTTTAATTCACGTTCCCCCAGCAAACCTCGGCTGCTACCTCCATCTCTGACCTGGGCTGAACCCCCTTCCATGTGCTCCCCCAAACACTCTTGTGTTTGTTGGTATCATAACACTTGCTGGATATAAGTTATTTTACTTATCTGTTTCTCATTTCCTTTAAGGCAGGGACTGTTTCCCATTTATCTTTGCATACCTAGGGCTTGGCACAGAGCCTAGGTTTCTGTAAGTATTCAATCACACACACAGTCTCTCTCTATATATATACACATATTGATATATTCAATGAAAGAAAGAGTGATTGAACAGGAACACAACTAGTCACAGACTACAAATGGTCATTCATCAGAATAAAAAACACCACAAACACTCAATCTTGGGCTTCCACTAGGACTGCTTTCTGCATTTTGTTACCAACCTAGGCAAACAAGTAAGTTCTCACCCAACTTTTTCATCTGATTTTCACTTTAAAAATATCCACTTTGGGTCTTCTGTGTACTGGGCTCTGGGCTTAGGGAACAGAGCTAAGCAAGACAGATAAAGAGTCCCTTGGTTCCCAGTGTGTAGAGACCAGGAGAGAAGCCAGGTAATTAAGTAAGTAATTGCTGACTGCTGACTGAATGGGTGTGAAGGGTGTTCAGACAGGGGTGGTACCAACTAGACACCCACACAGCAATGTGCATTTAGGCTCATTTCAGGGCGGATTCTTCTAATGAGGAGATTCACAATTTCAAAACAATTCCCCATGACGTAGACACTGAAGTAACAACTTATCAGCTGATGACACATATCCAGCTTCTCTACGGAAAAGTTATCAGCTAAATTCATTCTGTTCACTACAGTGGCCATGAGCCACAGGAGGCTCATGTGAACTGACATGTGCTGTCCATTTAAGACACACACTGGATTTCAAAAACTACGGGTGAAAGAGCTCATGAATCATTTTTTATATTGATTACATGTTAAAATGGTGCAGTTTTGGCTTTATAAATTATTAAATAATTTACTATTAATCATTTTACCTGTTTCCATATCTATATACATACACATATTTATATCTTTTTATAGTATGGCCTGCGTTTGTGGCACACATTATCTTTCCACTGAGCAGTGCTGAGCTAAACATCATCACTCCAAAGCCCCAGAAATGACAATTAGCAAATTAACCTTGTGTGCGTGCTAAGCAGCTTCAGTCGTATCCGACTCTGTATGACCCTGTGGACTAGCAAAGCCTGCCAGGCTCTTCTGTCTATGGGATTCTCCAGACAAGAATACTGAGAGTGGGTTGCCATGACCTCCTCCAGGGGATCTTCCGGACTCAGGGATTGAACACTGCGCCCCTCCACCCCCGTCTCATGCCTTCTGCCTTGGCAGGAGGTTCTTTACCACTAGCGCCACCTGGGAAACCCTCTGCATGTCATCATCTGCTCCCAAATAGTCTGTCAAATCCTCGTATGGGCCTGTTGCTTTGGTTGGCCCAGCAAACATTCCCTCTTCATCGGGCAGGTTCCCTGATTGTTCTTTGGGGAGCATCTCTTCCCATAGGCAGGTGTATCCGTGCACACGGGTGACCATGACTGGGCTGGGTCCAGGATGGGTCTTTCTTCCCATCCTCACTCTCCCCGACAGTGAATCGAGTCAGATGACCCAAGACCAAACCTGGGTGAACAAGGCAACCCAAGGAAGTTTTCTGGAACTACTGCTAGGAAGGAGTATGGCTTGTTAGTAAGGTTAAATTATTAGCTGGAAGCGGCCTGAAAATGAGGCCTCCCCAGGGGAAAGCGGAGTGCGGAAAAGGAGCGATGGGAGCCTAAGGCCATCCTTCAGAACTCTGGGTCAGGACATGAGGTTGGTCTTCCCCAGACTTTTCAGTTACACTAGCCAATAAAGCCTCTTTTTTTCCTCAGAGCACTTTGAGCTGGGCTCCTGAAGGTGTGGCGAGGACCTTCTGAAGGAAGGACCTCCTGAAGGAGGGTGAGGTGGGCAGAATGACTGAGTCACAACGGTCTCCAGCACAATGTGGAGCCAGTGTACGTCGCTAAAAAGGGGCAGGGTGTGGGGGCCACTTCTTGTGGTCTTCAGGAAATTACTACTGGGAGAGACAAACTTCATTTGAGGCTTACCTAAAAGTAGAGGAGAAAAGCTCTACAGCTCTGCTCTAGAGACGCTTTCTCTCTGTAAAAATGAATCCAAGAACTTGAGAGCTGTATTCTCTGCCTGGGCGAGTGCCCACAGAAGGAAAGTAAAATGGGAAAAGAGCTTGGGATCCTGAACTCCTGCACCCTACAGCCTGCATCCTCCTTGAGTCCTCAGTAAAGAACCGCCCACTGGCCCGCGGCCTGGGGACAGACTCGTTTTTGCTTCCCTATCCTAGGCTGTTGTTTCCAATTGCTCTGAGGCTAAGGTCCATGGAAGCAGTAGGCTGCGGGCTGGGGGAAATTCTGAGATCTGTTGCTAAGAAACTCAGATTCAACTTCAAGGACCAGAACTAGTCAGGCTGTGTGACTTTGGTAACCAAGCACGAAACCAAAGTGGACCAAATCTCAATACTAGATAGAAAATTGACTCAATTTGAAAGGCACCCAAGAAAGCAATGGCCTATGAGACCTCCGTCTCAAAGGGAATCAATCACTAAGCCTGTGAATGAGCTATGAAAGAAGGGCACCCTCAGAAAAATCCTCCCAAAGGATAGAAATCAGAGTGGCCATTTTGGCCCCACAAGCAGGTCACATCTCCAGAAAGCCTTCTGCTGTGGGGAGGACACGATACCCTTCGGGAGGTGACCTCCGTGTGTGATCTCCCCTTTTTCAAATGGAAGTTTCGGGTTATTCTGTTACCTTTCCTCCACTATGCAGTGAGTAGGGACTCAACTGAACCACACATAACTTGTGCAAGTCCTAGATCTTAAGACAGGCACAATAACTAGTCTCTTTTGGGGGAAGGGCTCCACATTTTGATATATGATACAGCAACATTACTTTAATGGTTACCTTAGCAAGTTCGAGCACACGTGCTTGCTGAAACAAACAAGAAGCCAGATGGGAGGATTTAAACAGGGCAGGTAGCCTCCATCTACCCTGGGCAGAGCCCTGGGCAGAATATCAGCATAGAGGAAAATCTCCTCTTGGTTATCTCAGTGTTTATTTGCTCTTAGTGTGAACGTCTTGCTGAACGGAGAACTATCCTGTTTATAAAGGGATCTTTACATTACATGTCCCCAACCAGTAAAGCAACTAATACATCTGGTACTTAACAGAAGGCCCAGCCATTTGGTCCTGAGGAGGAATAAATGCTGACCATGAGCCATGCAGCATCTTCCTGAGCTGTTATTATCAAGGGTGCTTTTTACTGGAAAGGAAGTATGTGCTAACTTCAGGACCTCAGCCCTAACTATGGTGACATGACTCTGTATGGAAGAGTTGCACCATCAAGCGTTTCAGAAAATATACACATGAAAATAACAGGAGTAACTGTCAGGCAGCCAAGCAGTGGGCTGAGGGGAACATCCATGCTTTCTGTCTACCTTGGTATTTGTTGCTCCTATTTTTTCATCTGGGGAACTTCTTCACAGTTCTTAGTTTAGGTGGTTCCTTTGTCTCCAAGCTTGAGAATGAAATGCCTGACACTGCTCAGCATCTTAGGCTGGCCCTTCCCATTAAGGCTGCAGAGGTGGGTGCCTTAATCTGGGCCCATCCATCAGCATGGTCCAGCCGGCTGGCTAACCTGACTGGTTGATGGATGGGCCCACGACCGAAGCAGGATCAAACAGTCAGTAACGGGATTTCTGTTGCAAAGTACTGGGTTCTTCTCACTGCGAGTTATTAGGCTAGTAGGACATGAGCCTGGAGCTCCCTAGGAGATGAGCCAACAGAGAAGAAAGCAGAGTTAAGAGCTGAAGAGAGACTGAGTCCCTTCAAAGGGGTTGCTAGATGTCACCAGTCCCAAAGACAGAGCTACCCTGGACCTTCATTTGTGTGAGCTGACAAATGTCCCTTTTTGGTAAATGACAACAGTTAGATTACTATCACTTGCAACCAAGAGTCCTAGATACAGCCTTTTAGTATTAACTATAGCACACTCAACATTTGAGTGCTTACAATATATCATATAACAGGTTAATCGCTTTCCACTCGACTATGTATCTTATTTTTACAACAACCCCATAAAGTGGTTAATATAATTTCCTACTTTACAGGAGAAAATGGAGATTTAGATTTCTTAAATAACTTCCAATATCCCCACAGTCAGTAAATATGTACTCCAAAGTCTGTGTCTATAACCATTCCATAAAATGATAGTGAAGGATTGGCATATAAAAATATTTGAAGTTATATTAAACTGATACCATCTTACTTTATGATAAATCTGTTTTATTTTATTCATAATTTTAAAAACTTTCCTTTACATAATAAACGCACAAGATAATTTAAGCAGCACAAATAGATATACCTGGACAGCTAATCTTTCTCCCATTCTTTTCTGTTCCTTTTAAAATTTTTATTGAGGATAGTTGATTTTCAATGTTGTGTCTTTCTCCCACTCTCGATCCCCAATTCCCTTCCTCAAAGGCAAGCATTACTAAGTTACTTAGATATCCTTTTAGACAAGCTGTGTAAATACAAGTACATATAATTTTAAATCATCACACCTTATAAAAATTTTTTTTACACAAATGGTACCAAACCACATACTGTTAATA